CTACTCTAAGCATAAGCAACATTGTTCACAAAACAATTGAATATTTGTCTCAAAACTGCAAAAGACATTTATTCCTGAAAACCTACAATAAAATAAATCTTCAACTCTTCTAAGCCTTTGTCTATCTGGGACTTACTCCTCCCCCAGATCCTCACCTGAAAAATGTTAAATGTTTGGGTGAGCACAAAGGCCCGTGAATAGCAACCACCTCTAATGAGGTGTGAAAATAAATCCCACATTTTGTATGCAAAAATCATGTAGTCAATTCATTACTCCTGGTTTTCGCTTTTCTTCAGGACATTTCGCACGAGTGGAAGTACCCGATTTTACACACTCGAATCCATCCAGACCCGGGGCTTTATCCGGGTTAAAACTCAGCACAACCTTCTCGATTTCGTCCGCCGTGACCTGTCGAATTAATCCTAGCTACTGATCCTCAGTAAGGACTCTCTCAAACTGAAAATGGTTGTTCACATTGCAAGATTTGATCTGTCCCAAGGAAATGATCAACTGCAGCAACCTTGATGCTAGTCTCCCCATGTGGATGCGGACGAAATTCCCGCCAATGGCTGAGATGTTCAGTCGACTCCCTCCCCCTTTGTGGGGGTCCGGACCCCTACGAGTGAGCAGAAAAGGGAGGAGGAAAGAGGCCCTAGTGAACCGTCATAATTAGTGAACAAGTGTAAGCTTTGCTGCCCGACAGTATGGAGTACTGACCACACCAACATAAGTACAACAAATTGTACCCCAATCCCTTCCACATAATCATGTAAACCAAATGATCTTATCATTATAAATAACTTTATAAAAATAAAGACATTTATAACTTAAACACCCACTCATTTTCACAAATAACTTTATAAATGAAAGACATTTATAACTCAAAACACTCACACACACATTCAGTTTCAAATACATTTGTCAAATCATGTTTGTTATCACTAGCCTGGTAACTGGCCACATCTCTTGTTTTCACTAGCCTGATGACTGGCCCCTTCTCTTGTTATCTTTAGGCTGATAACTGGTCTCTTTGTGCACATCCCTATACCGAACACACTGGTATATAATCTCGTCACCATTTAGACCTAGTAACCCAGTGCCCTTCTCATAAAACATGATTTTAATACACACACAAAAACTATTGTTTTAGTCTCAACGCACATAAAATTTCCCTTTCATCACCAAAACACATTTAAGCAATGATATAAAATCATCTCATAAGTTTTTCAAATTCACATGTATAACAATTCACAATTGTAAAATATTTAATTGCAACCCCAAACATCAACATATATCATATATATGAAAAATTCACACACACGCAACCACGCATTTAATATAGAAAATTCTCCCAAAAGAAGTAGTAAACTACTTACCTTGATTTTCAAAATCCAATTCCAAGCACTCTTTTGCAACCTCAATGCAATTACCACGTAATCCAAAATAACATATAACAATCAATCCCTTTTTCCTAACTTCGTTGTTTCGCGATTCTATATTTAATTTTTATACTTTCTACTCATTGAAATATACTTAGTATGTCTTTTACATATAAATATCCTTCCTAATACGAGTTAATAGGATATGGAAGTATTTTGGGCTATTTAGAAAAAGTTTCTAAAGTTTTGGGGTCAAATCATAATTTTTGAAACTTTTGGGGTCAAGGTATAATTTTGAATACTTTCCAAGGCTCGAGGGCTGTTTTCGAAATTATCAATCTTGTTTCAAAAATATTAGGGTCATCTTTGCAAATTATCAAGTGAAAAAGTGATCAAAATTGAATTTATGAAAATATAAGGGGTCACAATGCCATCTCTTGTAACTAATAGGAGTTTCTATAATTTTACACGTTTCCACCTTCTTCTTCCTATGATAATACTGAACCAATAACTTCCTTCTCTTTTCCTTTTTTTTTTCTTTTTACACATTGATTAAATTCCTTACAAACTTTAAGACTAACCATTCCAAATTAGATTTAAACACCTAAATTAGCAACTTTCAATAAAATCCATTGATACATTCATCACTATTCTTCACCATGAACATATATATATAATAAAATAAGAGTGTGTTTGAATTTTATCTCAGTCATATTTTCTCCCTTAAAACCATCACCAATCACTTATTTCACCTATCATCCCTTTGTCAGACTCAAACATCAAATCACATCACTCATTTCTATCACATATTTAATCATTTATATATTTCCTCCCTAAAAATATCACATCATTCATTTTTATCATATATTTAATCATTTAATATTTAATTAATTTGTAGTTAATATATTTTGAAAAAATTTAATATAATAAGATCAATTTTTTAGAGGCTCGAATTTTATATTTTATCGTGCCTTCAAGCACATGACTAGTATATATATAACTTATAAATCTACCAGTAGTTAATGAATTTATACCTTTAATGAGTCCAATCCCCCTTTTTGTTTTTCTTCCTTTTCTTCCTTTTCATTCTTCTTTCTACCTTATCTCTGTTTCTCTCTTTCTTTCTTGCTCTCTACCGCCGCCTGTTCCTTCCAGTCTAACGATACTAATAATATATGAGGGCAACCTGGGGCAGTCAGTTTATTTATAAGACACGATCGTTATTTTTCTTTAATGTCACTTAAGTCCCTCTAATTTCTTAGAATTACAGTTTTAATCATAACATATTAGTGTACAACCAATTTTAAATTTTCTAAATAAATTCTTCTCTTTTTATTTATTTAAAAAAAAAATCCGAACACATACTGATATTGGGTATTACAGACAGTCCCTGGCACATCGAGCTATGTCTCAGGGGTACTGGTAGCCATATATGCAGAAGGACACTAAGAGGTACGTGCAGAAGTGTGACAAACGTCAGAGGTTTGCCTTTATCATTCACCAAATGGGAGATCTCAACCTGTTGACAAGTGCATGGCCTTTCTCTTAATGGGGGAATGGATACAGTGGTTCTGTTACCAAAAGCTCCACCGAATAAGAAATTTCTCTGGGGGCCACTGATTATTTCAAAAATTGGATTAAGGCAAAGCCCCTAAGCCTTATATGCTTCGAAGAAGCCAAAAAGTTTGCATGTCAGAATATTATCACTCAGTTTGGAATTCCATGAGCTTTGGTGTTAGATAACGGCCACCTAATTCAATCGTGGCCCATTCAGAAAGTTATTTTCGGGGTTTGGGATCTGTAAATACTACTCAACTATGGCGTACCTACAATGCAATGGACATACAAAGATCTCTAATAAAATAGTGTTAGCAAGGATCATGAGAAGACTGGAAAGGGAAAAAGGTAGATCTATGGAGGAGTTGCTTAACATCCTTTGGGCGTATAGAACCACTCTGAGGACTTTTACGGGGAATACTCCTTACGCCATAGCCTATGGGGTGGAAACAGTCATACCCCTGGAAGGAGGACTCCCAACCATACAAAGCCAAGATTTTGAATTTGGAGAGAATGACTTGACCTTGGCTAGGGACCTTGATTTAGTTGAGGAGAGAAGGGAGGCAGCTACCTTACGAACAACCAAATACCAAGGGGAGCTATCCCACCAGCACCAAACAAAAGTCCAAGGTAGAAGCTTCTACGTGGGGGACCTAGACTCCAAAAAGTGATTGGGAGAACTCAGGAACCAACAGATGTGAGGCTTGACCCTAACTAGGAGGGTCCATACAAAGTCAGTGTCGCGGGGGGCATAGGATCTTACAAATTCAAAGACATGGAAGGGAATGATATGACTCGCCCATGGAATATTTTGAATATAAAGAAATGTTATTACTAAATAAGTCTTGAGATACACCCCAACATCGTTAAATAACATGAGCCCAGGGGCTCGGTCGTTAGGGGCATGACCCCGAGAGGGGTAAGACTTCACAAATGAAGCACCTCCCTCGAAAAGATAACACTAACCCAGGGCTCAGTTGTTAGGGATATCACCCTTGAATCATCCTTTGAAAAGAAAATTTTGAAAGACTTATGACTATAACAAAGGAAAGTTTAGTCGAAGCACAAATAACATTAAAAAATTAGGGGCTTTGAAGCAATATAACAAGTAGAGACCAAAAAGAAGTCATCCCCATTGGGGTCAGATAAGTTTTCAATTCTCGATGCCATCATTACCACCAACACCACCTCAGCTCCTCTCAGTGCACCTTTATCCCCAAGGTTAGAAAACAAATCGTCAATCTCCCTGAACTCACCCAAATTAGGTTGGCATCAGGGGCGTCAGTGTGAGGGATCGACCTCCCCATTACCGGGGATATACCTCCCTCCAAGAGCAATCCTCCCCATTACCGGGGATATCCTGCTCTCCATCAAAGAATTTCGGCTGACCTGCGGGGCAAACCCCCACAGTAGCCTTTACCTCTGTCCCACATCGGGGAAAGAGTCGTCTCCCCACCCCCATATAAGCCGAAGCACCATATGAGAGCAGTACCCAAGTACCACACTTAGTACCACACTTGTGCTACTTGGGTACTGCTCTCATATGGTGCTTCGGCTTATATGGGGGTGGGGAGACGACTCTTTCCCCGATGTGGGACAGAGGTAAAGGCTACTGTGGGGGTTTGCCCCGCAGGTCAGCCGAAATCCTTTGATGGAGAGCGGGATATCCCCGGTAATGGGGAGGATTGCTCTTGGAGGGAGGTATATCCCCGGTAATGGGGAGGTCGATCCCTCACAGTCAGGAACAACAGGTTCTCTAGGATGAATAGGAAAACATGAGAAGAAATCCAAAACGGAGACATTGGATTGTCTTTCAAGTCCCCATCATTTGTGGGATTTGCTCATTGGCCGCTCCTACCTCCCTCGTCGAGTTATCTGTTGCCATTTGTTTCCCATTTGCAGCTATGTCTTGATGGCCTTCCTGAGGAGCCATGACCTTACCAACCACCTACTAGGGAACGTAGGGGTGCCTCGAGAAAATCTTGGAGTCAACATCCACCCTTGCAACCTAGATCGCTTAATACCATCCCTTCTTAAAGGACTTGTTCTGAACATCAATAAAGGCTAGGATGAATTGGTCTTGACATTGGTGGAAGACCTTGAGGTGAATATTGTTCTCTCTCTCTCCTTGGTCCTTGTCTGTTCCTCCGCCAGGTTCTTGACCTTAGAAGTCTTGGCCAAGTAGTTAGCCTCGGCCTCCAGCAGTTTATCCTCTATCTTCGAGACCTTGAGCTCAGCCTCATTCATCTTTATCTCTACCTTGGCCTCTATAGCTTTACTCTTTTCCAATTCAAAAGAGAGGCCCTCGACATGCCGGATAAGTTTTTCAATGTGTTTCACCTAATCAACCACTTTCTTCTACAGTTGGCCAATGTGGTGGTCCTTTTTGGCAAGCTTGGACTTAGTCTAGTCAGCCTTAGTCTGGTAGTCCCAGAAGCGGTCAATGATGACCCCCATTTGCTGGCACGTTTTAAAAGAATGCCAGAATTAAGGTGTGGAGAAAAAAAAAAGAAAAAGGTTGAGGAAAGATGCAAAATTTGAACTAAAGTTCGGCCTTAAAGTGAAGGGACCCACTGACCACCAAAGCCACATCCACCGAGTGAATGATGGAGTCAGTCAACATGACTGCCCTATCTTTTTGGGTGTCCATGCGGGGGCTCACTCCTTGGTTTAAGGGGCCCGATGTTGGGGATCATGTTGGTGCTTCACCCTGTGCTTGGTGATAGGGTCGTCTTCCTGTCCTTAGTGTTACTTGTGCCAGGCGCCGACTTGGTCAGAAGGCAGGATGACCTACCTGGAAGGTGGTGAAGGGTCTTGGGGTTGCCGTTGTTGTTGCTATCTCTACTATTGTTGATGTCTCTATTGTTACTGTTGTCTCTGTTGTTGCTAACATTGTCTTTGTTGGGAGGTGGTAGAGGCTGCGGTCCTAGAGGTCCCGCTCAGTCCAAAGACAGAATAGGTGGCCTCTGAGTCTCGATCAAGGTTGCCCTCTAAGTCTACTTCTTCCTCTTCAGAATGATCTAGCCAGCCAGACAGACGGATCAAAGGCCTCAAAAACTTGGAAAAAATTATTATAGCCCAACCTGTACCTTAGCAATACGTGAGCATCTCATGCGAAGGGTGGTTCTCTCGCGGGTATGACCACACTTTCAGAATGTGCTCAAAGGGGATCGAGGATCGAAGTGGCTGCACGATGTCCCTCTAGAAACCTTCTGCAATAAAGGAAAAAGATAGAATAGTAACACATGATTTATCTCCCGAGCTCAAAGGGGGATGACTCAACAAAAACTGATGCACCTGGCACACTAATTTCCTTGGGGAAATAAAGGCCTTCATACTTGGGTTCGTCACGCATCTCCTATCTTCCACCGACTATGATAAGATCTAGGTGTAACCTTTGTTCGAGTCAGGCATTGTGTGTCACCAAGTAAATGGAATGATCTTAGGATTTGAGATAGTATTTCTGGTTACTAGTTATCTTCACATCATAACAGAAAAGGATCTCATCTACCCAAGGTTGATCCCCAACTAGGCATTGAGGCAACTACGCCCATCACTATCCTAAATAAGTTCACATAACACTGGCAAGGGAAGAGCCTAAAGTGCATCAAGAACCTCAAAAGAAGAGGGACTAAGGGAAATCTAACTCTTTCGTCCATGATTATCCTGGTATGGAGCGGCATGAGGTCATCACTCCCTACATCTACCCTATGGAACAGGGGGTCAAAGATAAGGGTGACAATGTTCTCAAGGATGTTGTAAGGGGACCTAAATTCGTTCAAAACGGACTCGATCACTTGAGTTTTCTAAAAATTTCCCCTCTTTTCTGGGTCTATTGACCTTGGGGCTCTAGTTCTATGTTCCCTAGCCATTGGATTTTGTACAAAGGATAAAAGAAAGAGAAAAGAAGGAAGATTGTGAAGATAATTAAACAGAGAGCACTTACAACTAGCCTAGTCTTGCTGAAGAACCACTCAGGAAACCAAACAACGCAAAGAAAGCAATCACCAGAAGAGTCTCTCACCTTCAGATCCCTACGCTATTTATATTATTCAGAAGTGGGAGCATTTTTCAAAAAAATAAGAGTCATTAAAGAAAATTCAAAAATGGGTAGCAAACATGCGAGTAATAGCTCCCAAAATATAAATGTATGTAGAGGAAGCCTCCATTCTCCTCATGACACCTGTCCCATGACGCAATGAAAACAGAGGCTGGGGGCAGTTGATGAGACGTTGGTAGCCATCCAACTAGAGACTGACATGTGGCCACTCATAGTGTTGAGACGCATGGGATTTACATGGTAACTAAGACCGAGCGATTGGAGTATTCAGGACTGAGGGGCATAACCAATGCTGAGTATTAAATGACATCGATGTGTGAGTCTCAAGCAATGCAGTGACATAACAGGTTATCATTGACTATCTACTCCACAAAGGGCTTAAGAACAACTATCAAGCTAAGTGGGCATGGCCGTCATGACTAATGAATAACCCTTAGGGGATCCCATTAACGCCCTAACTTTGCTCATAAATGCACGAAAGGAGGCCATAAGCATCTATGTAGAACACTTGATGATTAAGGATGGAATCATAAATGCTCGTCCCATTCTAGCACGCAAACTCGGACATCCAATCACCCAACATTAATAAGGCATGACAAAATAACACTTATTATGCTAGGTGATGAGCACAAACTACTAAAGACTAGGATTGGAATCTAGATGGGAGAGATATCATTACAATCCCAGGTATAAATACCGCATGGAAACAGAACTCAGGTACGCAAGCAAGAACAGCTTTGGACTATGTACTTTATTTAAACTCAAACGCCGATTAATTTAACTGCCGGAGGGGATAAACTGGGTGTACATCCAGCCCCCTCTGTTCACTTTGTTATTCCTTTCATGGTCATCCATCGAATTCATCGCAATGATCACGATCTCAATACATTGCAGGAAATCTCCTGTGCACACATCAACGACCTTAATCGAAGAGATATCAGGCTAACTGGTGAATCTGAGATTCAATCACCACATCATGGCATCCAAACTCCCTTAAGTAGACTATTGGTTTTACAAAGAGAGTGTCCTAAAAATAGACCAATGTAACAAGTGAGAATGAAAAAAGGCAATAAATGATTCATCTTCTAATTTTTGGAATATTCATTGAACATTGAATATTTGTGTTAAATAGCCTAAAAGAACAACAAAATTGGGTTGTTAAAAAAAATGGGTTTAATATGGCATTAATTATAGAGGATTAGGATGGTATAGTTGTATTGTTGGAGGGAAAATGTGGAAAAAATAAGTTTTTCATGTATGTAGACACTTTTTTTTGCTATGTGTGATATGAGTTCATGTGAAAAAAGAGTACAAAAGATATAATCGAGATGGAATCATACAAACTTTTAAAGCATTTGATAGAATCATAACACTTAAAGCTTGAATCCTCTGTTCATAAGCAAGTAACACATCAATGACCTTAACCGGAGAGATATCGGACTAACCGGTGAATACGAGATTCAATCACCTCATCATGGTAGCCAAACTCCCTTAAGTAGAGTACCACTTTTTCAAAGAGAGTGTCCTACAAATACACCAATATAACAAGTGAGAATGAAAAAGGCATGAAATTATTCACCTTCTAATTTATGGAATGTTCATTGCACATTGAATATTTGTGTGTTAAATAGCCTAAAAGAACAAAAAAAAGTGGGCTGTAAAAAAGGTGGGCTTAATGTGGCATTAATTCTAGAGGATTAGGATGGTATAGTTGTATTGTTGGAAGGCAAATGTGGAAAAAAGAAGATTTTCAAGTATGTTGTTATTTTAAAATAGTATAGAGTTAAATAAGGCATATATGGAAATGGAGAATATTAAAGAGGTAAAATAGTTTACCTTGCAGTGATTCATTTGTTTTTAATACAATTAGAGTATTTAATTTTGAAATCTATAGGTCATAAACTATTATAATATTAACTAAGGATTTAGATATAGACAATGATTTTATTACAATAATCATTACAAAATTGTAAAAATTATAAAATAAATTTTATATAATTGGTTAGGAATATAATATAATACTTTTATTACAATAATTATTATTAAATGACTCAAAGAATATATAAAGTCTAAAAGTTAAAAGGAATTTAATACAATAAAAGATGAAGAATATGAAAATTCAAGTAAAATTAACATTTTAATGTTCACTTAAGATGTGAAATCAACTCTTGGATGAATTACAAAATTAACTTTATAGTATTAATTAAGGTAAAAACTGAAGTAAAGATTAAATTGGCTTTGTAGCATTGTTTAAAAGGTGTATTTAAAAATAAAAAAAAATTCACTTTTATTGACATTTTACAGTAGTATAGGTGTTATTGGAATAATACCTGTGAAATTTGAGAATTTTGGATTTTACTTGGGATTGGAGAAATTAGTTGAGTATTGCATCTCTTGTAGATGTTTGGATGACCATGGGTGGCCGTTGACCAGGTATTGTAGAGTGGGTAGATGCGTTTTTACTCCGTGAGGGTTTGAATTTTTTCTATCACTCTTAGTGGGGTTGGTACCTTGCGAAGACCAAACTACTATTTGTTTATGTGGTACTGAGGTTGAGGTTTAGTATACTATTCCTGGATTAGATTCATCACTGTCAATGCGTTGGTATACGCCCTTCCTAAAGTTGGATATCTTTGCAAGGATTGGGTGTGTGTGAGTGGGCCAGGATATTCTCGATGTGTTTATTTATAGGATGTCATACATCATACCTGGGATAGAAGTATAGATACAAATACAAGTTGTGGTTTGATATACATTGTGGGCTATATTATTTATTGTGCAAATGGTTGGTTATGATTTATTGTGGAAAGGAGTTTTTGGTGGAATTGGTTATTGTGGAAATGGTAACTTGTTGGAAATTGTTATGTTTGAGAATTGGTTTTACTTTTTAATTTAATTATTGCTATTGTGTAAACTTGACATCCATTGAAATGTCTCTATTTTCCTTCAAAAGCTATATATGATATTTGTAAAATGAGACCAACCGTTTTATATGTTTTTGAAACCTTGTTTGATTTTGGGAGAATTTTTCTACAGAGCTTAGTACACACCCCCTACAAACATCTTTTTTCATATTATGGTCTAGAGGAGGAGCTCGGAGTTGATGAGCTAATACATTGGGAAGCTCCAATAGATGTGAACGTGGATTCCGAAGTGGATGTTTAGAACTATATTCTCTTATGTTCTAGACTAGGAAATTCATTTTGAGACAATGTGAAGTCTAATATTTTTGTTATTTCGCTGCAAGATAATAGTTAATTTTTGGGATATAATTGTCATA